TTCCACAATTAGAGAGAAATTAAGTAGTGGACAGTAAGTAAATCATTTCAGTTCAATACTTATTGAATGCTTAATATGTTTTGGGTACTCTTCTAGTGAGCCAAAAATATATTAATTAAAGGGCCTGCCTTTGGAGAGGCTGTGTGTGTGTGTGTGTGTGTGTGTGTGTGTGTGTGTTTAGGGTAGTATGGTATGGAAGACAAGTCCATTAAAATTGTTTAGATAATTAAAAAGCAGTGTGATAAAGCTGCTTTTGACATTGGAAGGTCACCAAACCCAGCCTGAGAGATAAAGAAAAGTAACAGGGAAGCGCCCCAAAGTAAGTAAATAACAAGTTGGAGGTTGTATTGTACATCAATGGAATATTGATAATATCTCATGTGGATTTAACAAAGATTGACTAATATTTCCAGATCATCACAATGTAGAGATAAAAGTTCATTGGAAATTTTAAATATTAAACGTTGTATTATATGTTGTTGGAGAATACGAAAAATGTATTTATTAAATGTGGAAGAAAACTCTTTGTGATCCTACCTGAAGAGTAAAGTGACTTCCTGGCCACAGTTAATATTTGTTAGGTCACCTCAAGCTCCCCAGAGTAGCAGTTCTTAATGGAATTTATTTGGTTCTGAACATTGGCGCATTTTGGAGCCCGAAAAATGAGGCTGTTCACTTGGAAAATAAGCCCACACAAAAGCATTCCTCATTTGAATGGTGGGGAGCTGAGCTGTATATGTTCCCTTCTCCATTCTCTGCTCCTCTTATTCCTTGTGGTTTAGCTTAAAGTACCCTGTGACCGTAATTTTTTGTGACCGGCAAAGACACAAAAAATATGGAGAAAGAAGGAGTTTTACATTGAAAGAATAACTATAAAATAGATTCTAGTTACATTATTATTGTTGCTATTATTATTACCATTATAATTCAGTATGTTATTTAGCTCCTCCTGTGTGTTCTTTTGGTGAGAATCACTGTGCTCCATAATTTACATTCAGTTTGTAAGAGTTAAATAGAATTTAACTCATAATGATCACTGTTCTTCTCACATCGTATCAAAGATTTGAGAAACTGGGCAGCCCCGGTGGCTTAGCGGTTTAGCACTGCCTTCAGCCCAGGGTGTGATCCTGGAGACCTAGGATCGAGTCCCCCGTAGGGCTCCCTGCATGGAGCCTGCTTCTCCTTCTGTCTCTCTCTCTCTCTCTCTCTCTGTCTCTCTCTGTCCCTCTCTGTCTCTAATAAATAAATAAATAATCTTTAAAAATTAAAAAAAAATTTGAGAAACTGACCAAATGACCTATTTATTTCTTTGGAGCCTGAAATATCAGTTTTTCAAAAGATTATGTCTGTTTTGTTTTGCTTTTTTTTTTTTTTTTTTTTAATTATAGAAGGGACCTACCCAAACTCAGAAAACATTTAGAACCATTAAAAGTACTGGTTCTAATGTGAACCAAAAAGCAATAGCTGCTGTCTAGATATGAACTAGTTCTTTTGCTTTTGCTTTTTTTTCCTATTAAAACAAACATGTTTAAGTGGATAGCATAATGCTTTATTATCAACATGGCCTGGACAAAGACTTACACAGAAAGGCTTTACTTGTTCCTGGATGGCAGATGAACCTAACCTCAGAATCCCCAAGATAAACACTAACACAGAGCTTAGACGTTACCAAACATTGGCATTCCCTTTTGAGAATGAGTCCCAGTGAATGGTGGAAGTCACAGCGAAGCAGCAGAGAGAGGGAAGCAGTTCTATATGATCTTGTTTGTGGTGCCAATTCTGTGGGAAGCAAAATTTAGTCGATTCGAGCTCATCTCACTTCAAGTTGTTTGATTAAACCCAAACTAATAAGTTGGAACCAAAACTCATAAACAATATTTCAAATGTTTAAACTAGAAATTTATGGAATAGAGGGGAGGAAGTACTTACTTTAATCAATCTTTCTGGGTCCCATCAACTGTGGGAATAGTATTTGTTTCACCTGGAATTCTGTCCTGGATTCTAGTCTCCCCAGCATTAGTCATTAACCTTTTCTTATAAGAAGAAACAGTCTAAAAAGATAAATATTTCTCAAAGTAATTTTTAAATATTTTATAAAAATTATTCCCACACATGTTATATGATTCCATTTATATTAAACTTTCAGAATAGGCAAATCCATAGAGAATGATAGACGGATTGGTGGTTGCCAGGGATGGAACAAGGAAGAATGGGGAGCAACAGCTTAATGGATACAGGGTTTCCTTTTGGGGCAATGTCAGTGTTTTGCCAAGTAGACAGAGGTTGGTAATAGTAAATACTATGAAAGCACTAAATGCCACTGAATTGTCTACCTTAAAATGGGTAACTTTATGTTATATGAATTTCCCCTCTTTAAAAAATAATTCCCAGAACAGGGAAGTGAGGTTATATAAGATCTGAATTAATTTTGTGAGCTCATTACAGATAGAGAAATGTTATTTTATTATTGCACATAGTAGAGGGAAGTAGGAAGGAGTAGAAGACTATACAGGGTATCCCATCAAAGAAATAATTCCACTTTTACCAGATCTCAGAGCTTCAGTGTGTACCTCAAGGATATTTCTAATACATAAATTACTTACTATTTAGCTTACCATAAGTTAGCATTAATTTAAATTTCTAAAAGACCTCTTTTAAACTATATTGGTTTGTCTTGAGTTGGCTTGAAACAAACCATTCCTTTTACCAGTGAGTTTAGGCAGATTCATTCATCTTTCTCTTCTCCACGTTTTTACAGAGAAAAAGGTTTGGGCTTATTACACCAAAAAAGCACTGAAGCCACAGTGCTTCTTATGGAAAGACAGGTCTCCATAATGTTATCTCTGATAAAGGATAGCACTTATAGCACTTTTTTTTTTTTTTGCTTGTTTTGGATTATCATACTCCAGTATGTTACTTTTGCTCGAGCAAAAGTGCACATTTGAAGAGAAAAGAACAGAAATGGGAAATGGAGATTTAACACAGAGCAGTTTATCCTGGGAAGTAAAAGCTAGAGGGCAAGTGTAATGTTTAAAGTGCATAGGAAGCATTTATGTTATTTCTACTGTGACTAAATATTTTTGAATGTGGATGATAGGATACCACAACTGATCAGAGGAACTAATAAACCAGTCAAGTGGGATGAGTCCTGGGACAGAGAATTATGTACGGTCAAAGGAAATTGGATGTGAAGAAAATGCTAGTTAGTTGAAATATATCTTGATCTTCAGAGAAATGTATTTTTTCCATTTAATCTTTTTAAATCCTACATGGGTCAGAACACATGCAATTTTTTAAATGTTTGTCTTTAAGAGAGTATATGTTTTATGTCAATTTAAATGTAGTTATCTTTTTTTTTTCAGTTTTACTTTTCATTTTACCTTTTAATTACCTCTTTGCTTATAAAGCAAAGCCATTGTATAAAAACAACCTCTAAATCATGTGTTTTCTTTCAGATATCCAAACCTTGAAACCTTTGCTGTAGATGTCAGGCTTGTTTTTGACAACTGTGAAACATTTAATGAAGATGATTCTGATATAGGCAGAGCTGGCCACAGTATGAGGAAGTATTTTGAAAAAAAGTGGACAGATATTTTCAAAGTGAGCTGAAGTTATAATAATCTCTCTTTTTTTCCTTTTAAACAAGGACAAATGAGACCAGCAATGTGAACTGTATTTACATAAATGTGCAAGGCACATACATAATGACTTTTTTTTCCTTAAAATAAGTATCACAAAAAAAAGAAGTATCAGAAGATGATACCATTTTTAAAGGCTTCACTCCTACAACAACCAAGGCCCTTGGTTATTGGTTTGTGTGATTTATCAGCTAATTTAGGTAGAACAGGGAAGCACACCCAAAGAATTTTCAAAGGAAAGGGTGTTATAGTGCAATAGCAATTAAAATATATCAAATCGCACTGAATATTCAACACCAGAGCTCTAATGGGAAATGGTTCTCCTTTCCCTCTCAATAAATATCTATTTTTCATTTTTTTACTTTGTAGTTTATTTTTTAGTGAATGTATTTAATTTTATGAATTATTTATGATTAAACCACATCCAGAATCTTCGTTTTCTGTGAAAAGGAAGAACTAGAAAATTGCTTTAAATCTTGAAAATACAACAAGGAATGTTTTAAAATATAAAACAAAGCCAAGTTAAACTGTTTACACTGATGTGCTATAAAAGCACCAAAAAGAAACTTTACTGTAGAGTTACAAGTACATTTATATATATGTGTGTATATATATATATGTTGCTGCATCACTTGTGTAGTAAAATTGTATTTCAAGACAGTGAAGAAAAATTGACATGTATATACTGTTCATTATTGTTTATATTAAGTCTTGTTTTAAATATGTATTATGTGTATATATTGTTTGGAGACATTATTGTTTATGCCTTAGAAGAACTGTAGCATTTTATTTTAGTCTGAAGGTAATTATAGCTATACAGCTTGTACAGTAATTATCCTCTACCAACACTGTGGCGTCTCCTTGATCTTGGTAGTGCCTGCCTTTTAAACAGGGTGTAGGGGATATTAGTTTTCCATTTTTCTATTTTGTTATATAATTTTAAGCCACCAGGGCCTAAATTAAAGTATAATCATTTGTATCCATGTGGAATAAAATTGTGACAATTTCCTACACACACAGTATTTTTTCATAGAAACATTTCCTTCCCATTTGCCTTGCCTCAGAAATAAATTTAAGACATTTGTAACCACTGTGTTTTATCTACTGTGTGTTGTGGTGGCCTGTTGGAGGCAAATAGATCAGATTTTTTTTTTTGTACGTATGTAAGAGTACTTGAAGTTTTATTTAAAATAAAATGTTGTGGAAAAGGTAGCATTCTTTTTTTTAGGAGTGTTATTTTTCACTACTATGTGTGGCACGGATACAATAAAAGACTTTTACAAACTAGTTTTTTAGTTTTTCTTAATGAACCTGAATATATATTCTTTTCAAAAAGATAGTTAATTTAAATTTGATTTTTACAAAATCCTAAAGGTGGAGAGGCAGACGGTAGTTCAATGAACATTGAGCGGGGTGGAAGAGGGTGGTTTTAAGTCAAGTGTTGTGCCTTTCATGAGTATCTGAGCCTCTCTGGACCACATTTTGTTGTTGTTTTTTTTTTACATTTTCAATATGAAAATATTAGAATACATTTTAAAAGTTTTGTTCTGATATGAGAAATGTCTCTATTGGTAAACATGTAACCAATTGTAAGTTGTCAATAAGAAATACTGATCATATAGATTAATAAGTCATGAGCTACAAATTCAAGCATTCATGAAATATGATTTGATCCCTTGCTGGGCTCTCAGGAATCATTGGTGAACAAGACAGGGAGAGGCCCTTCATGGAGCTTACAGCCTAGTGGAGAAGTGGTCCTGAGACAATATCCTTAGAAAATGGCTTTTAATAGTGAAGGGAAAATAGAAACGTTTTGAAGAAAATATTCCTAACTTTAAAATGCTCTGAGGCCACCTGAATATTTTCTAAAATTTCTAGATTGTTTGTGGAGACTTCTATGAAAATGAGCTGTTCTTATGTAAATATGTCAGTTTCTGTTTACCAAATATTGCACTTATGCCTCTAGGGGCTCGTGCTTAATCAAAAAGACCATGTGGTGAAAAGAACAAGGTGGTGCTGTGAATAAAGTGTCTGGTTTTTGTGTTTATGAACTACCAGATACTCCATGGGGAGTCTTCTTCATGGGGTGTTGTGCCTTAGAGATGATACATGCTTACATTAATTTATATTAGATGCTATATAAGAAGCTTGATAAAAATATGTCCGGTGTCTGAGGAGTTCATAAATGAGAAATAAAATACTTAAACACACAAAGCAAAATTTTTCAAGAGTGATAATTTTCTTTTAAAAATAAGTAAGTTATCCCTAAAAAAGGGAAAGCTTAGTAAATATTGGCTCCTTCATTGTTCCTCAAGAGGGGTAGCTGTTCAAGAAGTGGGCATGATCAGAAACAATTGTTAACTATACATTCATGGATCATTTTTTATGTGAATGAATCTTGCACTCACAGTGCCGTGGGTCGGGTAAACCAGTATCATTGTTCCCTTCAGATATAAAACGTTTTCCTAACCCTCTGCTATCACATAATTGCAAGTATATACAACATACTTCAATTAGGATAAACTACGCTTTAACCTGAACCTTCTCCATTTTAGTTTTGGTCACTCTGTAAATTATAAACCACTGGCTTGCTCTTGTGATTAGATTTAGATCATCACTCAAGTAGTAATCAATTAAGAATAACCAAACAGTACACTACGATTAAACCCAGAAAAATAATCATCTTTTTGAAACAATACATAGAGAGTAATTTAATATTTAGTTGATAACCATACTGAAAATTAAACAAGTTAAAACTCATCCATGGGTATACCTTAAACTCATAAGAAGTAATTTACTATCAATGCAAGGTGATCGCTTTTTCTTGTTTCAACCCCAAAATGAAATCTGTTCAAAGCACTCATTTAAATCAAAATTATGAAGGATCTCATATGTACTCCCTCTGTGTTCCTCCGCTTTTCCATCAGCTCCATCCTTATCACCTTTGAAAAAATTTAAAATCCTGTTCATTTAGCCTCCTGGTAAACACATCCTCAGGGAAATCTGGTATCAATCATTTACTCCTTCTGTAAACTCTATTGGTGGGCTACCTCTCTCAAGGTCATTTATATCTTAAATATCTCCCTTTGAGTAATGAAAGAAGCTTGTGTTCTGTTAAAAGAATTTCATTGCAACAAGGAGACAAAGGAGGTTTTTTAAAGAGAATCAAAGTTCCCTTCCACAGGAATATGATTCATTAAAAAAAAAATACAACACTGGGAAACTAGTAGAATCTTATCTACTAGGAATTTTGTTTCAATAAAATCTCTGAAATCTCCTGGGCTACATCACAACCTTAAAGAAAAAAAAAATTTAAGCTTCAACTATATAAAATTGAGGTAACTCTTCATGTCACATTCTTCACAGGATTCTTGTAAAGCCCTTCTTTTATTCTTTTACTTCTTCATTCAGCAACTCTTCAATTTCCTTCCTGTCAAATACAAGTACTTTTAATATGTCTTTCCAGCTAACCTTTTATATATTCATTTAGCAACACATTTATCTTTACAAATAAATGGTGTGGAAAGTAGTGTTTTTTGAAATTTTATCAGTCGTAGTACACCATATATTTTTCTATTTCTTTTTTTTTTTTTTTATGATAGTCACAGAGAGAGAGAGAGAGAGAGAGAGAGAGAGAGGGAGGCAGAGACACAGGCAGAGGGAGAAGCAGGCTCCATGCACCGGGAGCCCGATGTGGGATTCGATCCCGGGTCCCCAGGATCGCGCCCTGGGCCAAAGGCAGGCGCCAAACCGCTGCGCCACCCAGGGATCCCTATTTTTCTATTTCTTTTGAGTCGGAAAAAATAATATGGAAATCTAGTTCATTACTCTTGATTGCTGCAAGGTATTCCATCACAGGCATATACCACATTTTGCTTTCAAATTTCTATTAAGAATGAAAACCTAAGGGGCACCTGGGTGACTCAATCGGTTAAGCATTTGACTTTTGGGTTTGGCTTAGGTCATGATCTCAGGGTCCTGGGATCAGGCCCCCAGTCAGGCTCCGCACCTAGCGGAGAGTCTGCTTGAGGATTCTCTCTCCCTCTCCCTCTGCCCCCCCCCCACAAGTGCTCTCTCTTTCTCAAATAAATAAATCTTTAAAAAAGAAAACCTAAGTTTCTTGTAATTTCTTGTCACTGCATAAATGTCATATTGAAGAGATTTCCAAATGATCTTCACTTTCTGGTATTCATGCCCTTGTATAATCTGTTTCCACATTGTATCAGGGTTAGAACCATAGCCTGTGAATTCCCAGTCTAGGTCATAAAGTACATTTCTGCTTCCACCTTGTTTTCTTGGATCATTTGCTCTGCGCAAACTCAACTATTGTGTTATGAGGACACTCTAGCAGCCATATAACTGCAGCATCTTAGAAGTGGATCCTACAACCCAAGTTAAACATTTGGACCATTAGAACCCCAGCCATCTGGACTACAATTTCATGAAAGACCCTGAGCCAAACTACCCAGCTAAGCCACTCCTGAGCTGTTTGGTTTGTTGGGTTTTTTGTTGTTGTTGTTGTTGTTTGTTTTTTGATTGGAGAGTTGATATATTAGTGTCAAGTGTACTTCATAGTGATTTGATATTTTTATACAGTATGAAATGATTCCCTCAATAAATTGTAGTTACTATCTGCCACCATAGTTATTTTAATATTATTTTATTACCTATGCTGTATATTATATCCTCGTGACTTTATAACTAGAAGTTTGTACCTATCGATCCCTTTCATCTATTTCAGTCCCCACAACCCCTCCCTCTTCTGGTGACAGTATGGTTCCTGTACCTATGAGTCTGTTTCTATTTTGTTTTTCCACATAGAAGTGAAATCATATGGCATTTGTCTTTCTCTGTCTGACCTAATACCTTCTAGGTCCATCTATGTTGTCATACACGTCAAGATTTTCATTCTTTTTTATGCCTAAGTAATACTCAGTTGTGTGTGTGTATACGCATCTTCTTTATCCATTCGTCTGTTGACATTTAAGTTGCTTCCATATCTTGGCTATTGTTACAATAAACATAGGGGTGCATATATCTCTTCAAATTGGTGTTCTTGTTTTCGTCAGAGAAGTATCCACACATGAAATCACTGGATCTTTTGGTGGCTTTTAATTTTTTGAGAAACCTCCATGCCCTTTTCCAGAGTGGCTGCACCAATTTATATTCCCAGTAGTGTACAAGGCTTCCCTTTTCTCCACCTCCTAGCCAATACTTGTTATTTTGTCTTTTTGATAATAACCCAGTCTAACCAGTGTCAGGTACTAATTGATTTGCATTTCCCTGGCAATTAGTGATGTGGAGCACCTTTTCATGTGGCTGTTAGCTATCTGTATGTCTTGTTTGGGAAAACGTCTATTCAAATCATCTGCCTTTTTTTTTTTTTAAGATTTTATTTATTTATTAATGAGAGAGAGAGACACAGGCAGAAGGAGAAGCAGGCCCCATGTAGACAGCCTGATGCAGGACTCGATCCCGGGACTCAAGGGTCACGCCCTGAGCCGAAGGCAGATCCCCAACCACTGAGCCACCCAGGCATCCCAATCTGCCCATTTTTAATTGGATTTTTTAAATATTATGTTGTGTGAATTCTTTATATACTTTGGATATTAACCCCTTATTGATGTATGACTTGCAAATATCTTCTCCCGTGCAGTAGGTTGCCTTTTTTGTTTTGTTAGTGGTTTCCTTCACTGTGCAAAAGCTTTTTAATTTGATGGAATCCCATTTGTTTATTTTAGTTGTTGCCCTTGCCTGAAGAGACTGGTCCAATAAAATATTAAGATTGATGTCAAAGAGCTTACTGGCTTTGTTTTCTTCCAGGAGTTTTATGGTTTCAGATCTTACATTCATGTCTTTAATCCATTTGAATTTATTTTTGTATATGGCATAAGATAATGGTCCACTTTCATTCTTTTGCATATCGTTGTCTAATTTTCCCAACACCATGTATTGAAGAGACTTGTCTTTTCCCCATTGTGTATTCTTTCCTCCTTGGTCATAGATTAATTGACCATATATGCCAGTACCATACTATTTTGATTAGCATAACTTTGGATTATACTTTGAAATCCAGAAGTGTGATGTCTTCAGAGTTGTTCTTCTTTCTCAAGATTGCTTTGGCTATTCCAGGTCTTTGTGGTTCCATACAAATTTTAAGATTGTTCTATTTCTGTGAAAAAAAACCACTGGAATTTTGATGAGCACTGACAATCTATAGATTGCTTTGGATACTATGGACATTTTAACTATTAATTCTTCCAGCCCATGATCATGGAATATCTTTCCATTTATGTCTTTCATCAATGTTTATAGTACTTGGTTTTCAAGTCTTGCACTTTTGTCAAATTTATTCCTAGGTATTTTATTCTTTTTGATGCAATTATAAATAGGATTATTTTCTTAATTTTTGATATCTCATTATTAGTATATAGCAATGGAACTGATTTCTATATGTTACTGATTATTGACTCACAGAAACTATGAGATAATAAATATTGTTTTAAGTCACTCCGTTTTGGGTAATTTGTTACATAGCAATAGAAAACTAACAGACTGTGTGTGGTAAAAGTTTCTCTAGGATGTACACAGGTTAGGTAATATGAACACTTTCCATGCTATGGCCCTACTGCTCTACAAATGATTATACCAGTTTACATACTTACCAGTAGCGAAAGAGGATTCTTTTTCCCTACGTTCCAATCAGTGTTCAATATTTATTTGTATTATTTTCACTAGCAATTCATTATAGATTTTGAATTTGAATACGTTTCGAAAAGTATCAAGCAGTCTAATCATATTAGCTGCTTCAAGTCTGATGTGCATGTTCATAGTTTTGTTTTTAATGTAAATGTCATATCTAACCCTATCTGCTTTCTAGGGTCTGTAAAAACTGCACCAAATTTTATTTTCAGCTGGTGAAAACAGCTGAAACATTTGCTCTAGTTAGCTGAGAAAGCTGATCTTGCTAAAGAAAAGCCTGAATAGAAAAGGTGAATAGAAAAAGAAAAAAAAAGAAAAAGAAAAGGTGAATAGAAAATATTGAGAGTTCTTAGATATTGCTAGGATTTGTATGGATTCATGAGTTACTATAGCAAAAGTAGTGCTTGGAAGTATGGTGGGTAAGGAGTTGGCTAAATGCAGAGTTAGAGGAAAAGGTAATTTGGATCCTCTGGACCTTCATTGGAAGAGCATTTTGCACCTTAGCATTTACATCAAGGGGGTAGAGAGGGGCAACTGGGTGGCTCAGTCGGTCGGTTAGTGGCTGACTCTTGATTTCAGCTCAGATCAAGAGCACAGGGTCGTGAGACTGAGCTCTGAGTCAGGCTCTGCACTTAGTGGAGAGTCTCCCTGAGATTCTCTCTCTCCCTCTGCCCGCCCCAATGCGCGCACGCGCACGCACACACACACACACACACACACACACACACACACACACCCTCTCTCTCTCTAATGGATAAATCTTTAAAAAAAAAAAAAAGATGAGGCAGTAGTAAAATTAATATCTGAGATCGTTTGTAGTTTACCTTGACCACACACTTGAAAATCATTTGAGTTGTTCTCACTGGATAACTAAATCAAAGTGTTGTGGAGTATACTAGAAGTTGTAGGTCACTCATTCTTGAACTTTTTAAAAAAATATATTTACTTGAGAGAGTGCCTGAGGGAGCAGGGGGAGGGGCAGAGGGAGAGAGAACCCTTAAGCAGACTCCCTGCTGGGCAAGGAGCCTAACAGGGCTCAATCCCAGGACCCTGAGATCATGATGTGAGCTGAAATCAAGGGTCAGCATCTTAACTGACTGAGCCACCCATGTGCCCTCATTCTTGAATTTTTTTTAAAAAATTAATTTTTTAACTAAAAAAAATTTAAGTATCAAGTTCGATACCTAAGGGTATTCTTATTCTCCCTGAACAGACTCCTTACCGTGTCTTTAATAAAAAAAAAAAAAAAAAAAAAAAAAAAAACCAGCCCTAATAATCATGGTCGTAGATATCAAAGAATATGGTGAATCTTGAGGGAGAACCCAGTAGTGAATGACAGAGGCTTAAGGCTTAGAGCCAATTGGGAATCTATCTTGGGCTCTGAAGTGAAAGGAAAGCTCAGTAAGTTCCCTAGATCACCAAAGGATCATGAGATATTTACACAACAGAGGCTTGTATGGAGATAGCATAATGCCTGGAGAGGCTATATACTTATTCTAGTGATTCTTTCAATTCTCAAAATACATTTACAATTCCTTTTTAATACTGCTTTCAACATTTGTGATACACTTTTCTGAGTTCATTAGAGCAAATCTCAATTACTTTTTATATAGAAGTGACTTTTTAAAAAGTCAGATTCTAAAAAAAAATTAAAAGTAAATAAAAAGATTCTATTCAACCATTAAAAACTATAATGTGGGTGCACCTGGGTGGCTCAGTGGGTTAAGTGTCCAACTCTTGATATCCTTTCAGGTCATGATCTCAGGCACCTGAGGTCAACCCCACTGGGGCTCCACGGTCAGCAGGGAGTCTGCTCTCCCTCTCTCTCTGCCATCGTCCACTTGCACACATGTGCATTGTTCCTTTCTCCTCAAATAAACGGATAAATCTTTAAAAAAAAAACCTATCATGTAGATCTTTATTAATATTTGTAAATTAAGTGAAAAAAGGGGGTTATACTATAGAATTATAGTAATTCTGTTAGAATATATTGAATACTTAGTATGGGGAGAATTCTAAAGGGATGTATAAAAATGTTCACAGTAGTTTCTTCTCTGGTTGCTAGAATCTGGGAAGACTTTAACATCTTTGTCATCTTCCTTATCCATATATCATACCTTTGCAACAAATGTGCATTATTCTTATTTTAACATTTAAAAAGACCCAACCAAGTAAGGTAAATTTAGCTGGTAAAAATAACTGATGAATATACTGAATAATGCCATTTAAGGATTAAAGATTGAGGCATAACATAATTGAGGTGGGACTTACTTTCACATCTGTTAGCAAGTTAAATAGTTTTCTGTTGTATAGATATTTTCCAAGTGGAAGATACTTTATTTAGTAGCTGCCTTGTATCCTTATTTCCTTCCATCCATTCTTGTAGATGTTAGTTGACCATACGCTTCAGGGGAAAGTGGGCCCGTTTTTCAGCTCCAAGACTGTAATTAATGACAATTATTTTCCTTCTTGAAAGTATTACTTTTTTTTTTTTAAAGATTTTATTTATTTATTCATGAGAGATAGAGAGAAGTAGAGACACAAGCAGAGGGAGAAGCAGGCTCCATGCAGGGAGCATAAGGTGGGACTCAATCCCGGGTCTCCAGGATCACGCCCTGGCTGAAGGCGGCACTAAACTGCTGAGCCACCCAGGCTGCCCTTGGAAGTGATTACTTAACAAATGGGCATGGAATACAATTCTGGGCAAGGACACGTGAGAGAAAGGCTGCTGGAGGACTTCTGAAGAATTGTCCAGAGGAGAACTATTCAAAATGGGCATCAGTGTTTGTCATACTTTCTTCTTATGTAATAAAAAACCACGAATCTGATACCAAAAATTCGGGTTTGTTATTTTTCAGAAATGCATTTAACATTTAACATCTTGAATTCTCTTAAAGTGTTTTAATAATAAGAAAATAAAGAATTTGAGAAAATGAGAGAAATAAGAAAAAAATTTAAGTTAAATTATGAGTAGTCAGGATTTAAGAATCCATAAACAAGAAAAATACTTCTGGTACCAAAGAGGAAGAAAAGGCCAAAGCATACACCCCCAACACATCCCTGAGTATTTCCCAAGCTCATCCCTTGGCTGGCCGAAGTTTCAAGCCTATTTAGAAGTCATTCCTAGGCCTCCTGTTCTAATCACTCCAGTGCCTATCATCTCTCTTTTGATCTCTTGGCTATTCTCAGTCATACATTTTAGTACTCAATGACTGATTCACGTCCATTCTGTTCCCATTGCAATTGTATTTTAAGAGCATGTATTGCTAACTATGTAATTGAAAAGCTAGTCTTGGGCAGGCCAGGTGGCTCAGCAGTTTGTCGTCTTGAGCCCAGGGTGTGATCCTGGGGTCCCAGGATCGAGTTCCACATCGGGCTCCCCACAGATAGCCTGCTTCTCCCTCTGTCTATCTCTGCTTCTCTCTCTCTCTCTCTCTGTGTCTCTCATGAATAAATAAATAAAACCTTTAAAAAAAGCTATTCTTTATATCATTTTAAATGGCTTTATATTCCTTAAGTGGCGCTATTACAAAAAAACGATTGGAAATTCAAGATAAAATAGGATTAATTATTGACCACAGTTACATAATTAAAGCAAAGAATGCATAAAATACAAATCTTTAAGATTCTAAGTTCCAACTATTTGACACTCTGTGAAATAAGATAACCAGTTCACTAAGGTGACCAAAGATTTCTACAAATTCTTACAATGTTTCTTTAGTATATTGGCAAGATATTCTAATTAACATCTCCTAAATCACAAATCCATAGACTAGAGACCAGTTTACAAGAAGACTTTCCTCTCTGAACTTGCCTTTCTCTGAAACTAACCATACTGGTCTCAAGATCTCTGTGCTGAACAACTGGCATGTGTAGGCAGGGAGTTTCTTTTACATAATTTACTTAAAGAATATTGTAACCGATTTGCCCATCAAATTGGTGAAGATTAAATATTACTCAAGTCTGTCAAGAAGGTGGAGAGACAGGCACAACCATATGTTGCTGAGAGTATAAACCATACAACCCCTCTGAAAAGCAACATGACAATATTTATTAGGAATCTTTATACCTTATGCCCAGTAATTCCATTTCTGTTTGACAATTTCCTTAGTAAGTGTTCATGACTGTGGATACAGATTTATGTACAAAGCCATCTGATCCAGTATTATTTACAATAAGCACCAAAAATACTGAAACAACCGTTCAGCAACAGGTGAAATATTAAATTATTGTATGTATTGTGGACTCTTATGCAGAAAAATAATGAAGCTACTAGAGAAATTTTAGATATGGGAAATAGGATATACGTTTGAGTTTTAAAGGCAGTTTCCAGGACTTTCTGTAAAATTATTGATATTTTTATGAGTAAAAGCCTGAAAGAAAATATTACCTCTGAATGGGGTTTTTCTTTTTTTGAAGTATAGTTGACATACACATTAGTTCCAGGTGTACACACAGTGATTCAACATTTATATATATCTTGAAGTGATCATGATAAATCTAGTTGCCATCTATCATGTCCAAATTTGTCACATATTTTAACTATATTCTCTATGCTGTACATTGTCTCCTCCGTCTTACTTTAATATCCGTCCCCTATTTTGCCCATCCCTCACCTTTGGCGACCCCCCCCCCCCCCGCTTGTTTTCTGTACTTATTAGTTGGTTTATGTTTTGTTTTTTTTGACTCCACAGGTAAGTGAAATCATACAGTATTTGTCTTTCTCTGACTTCTTTCACTTAGCATAATACCCTCTGAGGGGGTTATCTTTGAGTGATGCAATTATTAGGTATCTCTCTTATGTGTATCTTCTATATTTCCAACAAAGAGCTCTATTATTTATACAGCCACAAATTTTTTTCTAGAAAAACATTGTTTTGGCAATATTTGGCATGTTATTAGGTGTTCCAAATCTCAATCATGATATACTCCTTAACTTAAAAATCATAGGAGCATCTCAAATCATGAATTTTGATCTCCCCTTTTGTCTTTTTCATTACAAATAATTTCCAGTGGTCTCAATTTCATCTTTAAATGTGAGCATTGTAGGTCATTACTCTTCAAATATATGACTTTGGTTTCCTTTTTTTTTTTTAATGTTTCATCATTAAATTCTAAAGTTGCATGGATTAAAAAGCTATCGCCTGATGGCTGATTTTATAAAACAATTCTTAAAGGAAAAGACTGGATTATAGAATACTACCCTTATCACATAACTGCAAACTGGATATGCTCTTAACTTATTTTTAAAGATCTTATTTATTTATTCATGAGAGACACACAGAGAGAGGCAGAGACACAGGCAGAAGGGGAAGCAGGCTCCCTGCAGGGAGCCCGACCTGGGACTTGATTCCGCGACCCCAGGATCATGCCCTGGGCTGAAGGCGGCGCTAAACCGCTGAGCCACCAGGGCCTGCCCTGCTCTTAATTTAAAAATGAAGTCTGGTCAACAGAAAGCAACATGATTCCCTTAAAAGCGACATTTTGTGCTATTACTTCAATGACTCCCCAGAAGAAAAGCACCAGTTAGGTTCTAACAGGGTCTTATAACTCTTCAGTACTTACTGATCTTCTTAAGGAGCAGAGTCTCTGTACTACACAATAGCAATAGCTGCTGTGGGCTCCACGGAGGACTGGAGAAGGACGGTTCCAAGAGGCAGCGTGTGTTCTGAGACAACAAGGTGTCTTGTACAAGCTGCTTAGTTTGAAACCGATCTCAGCTCAGGACTGTATCTGCCCACAGGGTCACTGTAGGAAATTATTTTTGTTTTGACTGATGCTACTATAAATAAGTTCTAATACACAGCAAAAAAATCCTTTTTAAAAAATGAAATCCTTTTCATTTGACCAAACTATATCGACTTTTTTTAAATCAAGTTTTTAGATTTGCCAATAAATATAACAACTAGGAAAATCATCGGCAGCTTTCAAAGTTTCAACAGCTCACTGTATTCCTTAAATATTAAGTTGTCTTAGAATCTTCACAAAAATTTTATTTTTTATTATTTGTTTATTTATTTTTACAAAAATTTTAAATAAGAGCCATCTGTATCTTTTTCATCTGAACGTAGTCCTATGGCGTCATGCACTTCCCCTGCACGTGCACTTACTTAGTTAACAAGTGTTAGCAACGCTTAGGAACTTTTGGCTGCACGTTTTTTTAATCTCAAAAGGGACTGGAGCATGACTTTGTGGCCACTTACACACGACACCAAGGTCTACCCGCGAGCCTGGAGACACACTCGGAAGGTGGGAAGACACGCGCAGTAGGTTCGGGCGCTCCCGGCGTCCACAGGGACCCACCCAGGACGCGCAGGGCCGGGGCTCCGGGCGGCCGCAAGCCTGCGCACCGAGGCACCGACCGCTGCGGAGCAACCTCGGAGGGCGGGGACAGGAACACGGGGGAGCAATACCGGAGCAGGAGACTCAAACACCCGGAGCTGCAATCCCCGCACAGTCGCTACTACGCCACCTTTGAGCCTCGGGACTCCAGCTTCCCCACCCGGGGAACGCAGGCCCTTCCCGAAGCTCAGCTCGCGGGCCGCACGCATGCGCGGTGGCGCGGCGCGCGCTCGGGGCGGGGCCTGGCCCCTCCCTCCAGGTTTCCACGGCAGCGGCCCGGCCCCGCACCAGCGCGTCCCGAGGCCCCGCGCGCCGGAGCAGCTGAGGGCGGGTCCCGCGCGCCCGGCGTCTTCCAGGGGGACGGGGTGCGGCCGGCGGCCCGCGGGGCGGCGGCGGCGGCGGCGGCGGCGGCGGCGGCAGGTGGGCGAGCGCCGCGGGGTCGGCGAGGAGCCTCCGCGCCGGGGCTGTCAGAGCCTGTGCTGCTTCCTCGCTGCCGGCTTCCAGGCGCGCGACGGGGGCCGGCGAGGAGCGGGACGCGGCGGGGCGGCGGGAGCCCCGGCGGGGGCCCTGCGGGGGGGCCTGCGGGGGGGTCGGGGGCCTGCGGGGCGGGCGGCCGGGGTGGGGCCTGCGGGGCCCGGGGCCTGCGGGGCGGGGGCTGGGGCCGGGCGGGGGGCGAGGCGGACCCGGCGGGGCCTGCGGGGCGTGGGGCCGGGCGGGGGGCGGGGCCTGCGGGGCCCGGTCGGAGGCCGCGTCGGAGGCCGCGGTCCCGGGAAGGCAGGGCTCGGGTCGGCTCGGTCGTCCGCGGCCCGGGCGGCTCGGCCATTCGGCTGCCCCTTTGGTCCCTACGTGTGGGGCGTCATCGCGGGGCTTTATTTGGGGGAGACTTGGGGCACATTCCGGCCGGCCGTGCGTCGGGCGGGGCGCGCGTGGGCGCTGCGAGGTGCGGGGCCGGCCCGGGCGGAGCGTGGGCGACGGCGGGGCGCGGCGGTGCTGCGGAAAGCCCCGCACGGCCTCGTCGCGGGGCAGGGGTACAGCTGACCCCCCGCCCCCCCGGACGTTCCGCGGTTTCTATTTTTTGTTGTTGTTGTTGACGTTATTGGAGTTTATGTTTGGGGGGGAAAAAAGAGGCTAAAGATTTGAGATACAACAGATATTGGAAAAGAGACGCTCCATCTGTGTAGCGTTCTGCAGAGATGCAAGCTGTAACGAAGGGTTTGGATTTTTTTTAATTAATTAATTATTTTTTTTTTTAAAGACAGACTTTTAAAAAATTTTTTTTATTTATTTATGATAGTCACACACACAGAGAGAGGCAGAGACATAGAGGGAGAAGCAGGCTCCATGCAGGGAGCCCGACGTGGGATTCGATCCCGGGTCTCCAGGATCGCGCCCTGGGCCAAAGGCAGGCGCCAAACCGCTGCGCCACCCAGGGACCCCGGGTTTGGATTTTAATCTGAATTTGTAAATTTGTTCTCAAGTGCAGTCTGGCTACATTCATTTTTTTTGCCACTCTGTCTCTTTGGTTTCCTTGATCTATTAAGTTGGCTTCTTCACCTCAAATCTTTTATATCATTTTATTCTTTTTTAAACAAGGTGGCAGGGATTCCTGGGTGGCGCAGTGGTTTAGCGCCTGCCTTTGGTCTCCTGGTGCATGGAGCCTTCTTCTCCCTCTGCCTGTGTCTCTGCCTCTCTTCCTCTCTCTCTCTCTATCATAAATAAATAAAAAAAAAAAATTTAAACAAGGTGGCAGACCACGGCAGAGCTTTCAGCACCGCCGCTGAAATTTTGAATGAAACCGTTTCTTAGACTTTCTGAGGGAACCACGCAGTCCATGCACCTTAGAGGCAGAGCCGAATGTGGCCCTGGCTCCGTCCCGTAGAAGGAACGGCTGAGCCAGTTTGTTGAGAGTGGAAAATCTTTTTGAGTTGAGATGAGCAGATCTGGAATGAGGCATTTTTGAGAGGTGATTAGTTAAGAGAGAGGCTTCAGAGGTGAAATAAATACCCGATGTTTTGGATGTTCAGCGTCAAATCAGTTGGAAGTTACTTGACAAGATTCTTTCTCAGGAACTAATGGAACGTGATTGGCGTGTCACTTGTGACTGATTGTAATTAGAGTTTATGGTCTTATTGGTGTTTTCGCTCCAAATTATTCTTATTATCTTGGGAGCAATAGTTTGTCCTCTAGGCATGTAGGAGCTTCACTGAGCAAATTCTTAAGTTGATTTTGACTCTTTCGTATGGATTTGAGTTGCATTTATTTGATTCTGAGGATGAAGTAACCTTTATTTAAAAATTGCAGGACATTTTGCCTCAAATAAAGAACATGGTGAAACTAATTCACACATTGGCGGATCACGGAGATGATGTCAACTGCTGTGCGTTCTCCTCTTCCCTCTTGGCTACTTGCTCTTTGGACAAAACAATTCGCCTGTACTCCCTAAGTGACTTCACTGAGCTGCCCCACTCGCCACTGAAGTTTCACACCTATGCTGTCCACTGCTGCTGTTTCTCCCCCTCGGGACATGTTCTGGCTTCCTGTTCCACAGATGGTACCACTGTCCTATGGAATACTCAGAATGGAGAGACGTTGGCAGTGATGGAACAGCCCACTGGTAGCCCCGTGAGGGTTTGCCAGTTTTCCCCAGACTCCACTTGTTTGGTGTCAGGGGCAGCTGATGGCACAGTTGTTTTATGGAACGCTCAGTCCTACAAGTTATATAGGTATGGATATTTACACCTTTTCTGTTCTTAATCCTATTAACAAGTCTGCAAAAAATAAAAATAGAAAGAATACTTTGATGACATTAAGAAGCAGATAATTTTCAGACATCACAGGGAAAGACATTTGACCGGTCTTCTGAAAATCATAAAAACACATGTTTAAAATGGTTCTTACAGTAGATTTGCTTGGCTCTGAGAGTTTTAAATTTCCAGTCTTTCTCTCGTAAAATAAGGGTTAATCTTGTTAGACTTTTATGGATTCTTGCTTTAAGAGCGAGACAAAGAAAACAATCTTTTGAAAAAGGTCCAGTAATTTTAGACTTTGTTTTTATCACTCATGACTCAAGTGTTCTCAGTAATAGAGTAATGGTAAGTAAGTCTCACGTAAGAAACACAACTGTTTCCTGATGAGGATTCTTGCTGGGTGAATGATCAACCCCAGAAGAAAGACCCTTGTGATTAGTGTGGTATTGTGTTTTCATGTAAAAAGAACAAAAACCAGGGGCACCTGGGTAGCTCAGTGATTGAACATCTGCCTTTGGCTCAGGCCATGATCCCGGGATCCTGGGATCGAGTCCCATGTCAGGCTTCCTGCATGAAGCCTGCTTCCCCCTCGGCCTAGGTCTCTGCCTCTCTGTGTCTCTCATGAATAAATAAATAAAATCTTAAAAAATAAACTAATTTAAAAAATCTGAAAAACTCCTTTTATTTTATTTTTATTTTTTGAAAAACTCCTTTTAGATGAAAATACATCAATTGATTTTTATTGGTAATGTTCTCTTGGAACTTGCCAACATGAAAGTTACGTACTTTTATGTATATTGTAGTGAACTATATATCGCATAAAGTTTACCTTTTTTTTTTTTTTTAGCATTTTTTTTTTAATTTTTTTATTCAGAGAGAGAGAGAGACTGAGAGGCAGAGACAGGCAGAGGGAGAAGCGGGCTCCACGCAGGGAGCCCAATGCGGGACTCAATCCCGGTTCTCCAGGATCAGAACCCGGGCTGCAGGCAGCGCTAAACCGCTGCACCACCGGGGGTGCCCAAGTTTACCATTTTTAAGTTACAGTTTGGTGACCTTAAGTAACTAAGAGCCATAAACTTTTAAATGTGACCAAGTAAAAAAGCCTAATATACTTTCTCCTGTCCCTGCATCATTCAGAGCACATGCCAGCTGGTAAACAACTGTGCTTATTAGATTTAGGTCTGTGGCTTGAAGGAGGCAGTGTGTTTTAAGTGGCATTATTGAACAGTTTAAAGAGCTCAGAAGGAATGAGATATCTTTCAAGTTTTTTTTATAGGAATGAAATATATCTGTCAACTAAGAAATTTTCTTTTTCACTTACCAGGTGATGAATTCTATCTCTCTACCATTACTTCCCTAACGTATGCTGTAAAAAGTTGGCACTGCAGTAGATTTAAGCACTGGATGGGACACTGCAGTGATTGCTAGACTTTTACCCGTTTCTTTTTCCTAGTTGAGAGAATTAAAATTAATATTGTCAGCACATTGCTTCCTTATCTTCCCAAGATAATTTAAAAAACTTGTTCACAGCATTTTCTTTTCATAAGAATTTATATTTATTTATGTTTAATATTTGAAGATTATGCTTCTAGGTAATTTTATTTATGTTTTTAAGATTTTATTATTTGACAGATATAGAGAGAACACAAGCAGGGGGAGTGGGAGAGGGAGGAGCAGGCTTCCAACTGAGCAGGAAGCCCAACGCAGGACTTAATCCCAGACCCAGGATCATGACCTGAGCCGAAGGGAGATGTTTAACCAACTGAGCTACCCTACCGACTCAACTTTTGGGTCATTTTATTTTATTTTTTAAAGATTTTATTTATTTATCCATGAGAGACATGGAGAAAGAGAGAGGTAGAGACACAGGCAGAGGGAGAAGCAGGCTCCATGCAGGGAGCCCGATGCGGGACTCTATGGTCTATCCCATGACCCCGGGATCACGACCTGGGCGTGAAGGCAGGCCCTAAACTGCCGAGCCACCCAGGGCTGCCCTGGGTCATTTTAATACAGAAGTTGAAAGTACTTTTGACCCCAATAACATGTTTTCCAGTAAAAATGGTTTTTAAAAAATGTGGGACCACAGTTGATATTTTGGTTGGCAGAGCTTTTTTGTTAAGTTTTATAGATTTTAATATGTTCATACAGAATTGCCATATGGCAAAATGTGAAGATACCTGGACTTTGGTTTGGATTTGTATAGTTTAGGCTTGAATAGGTCACTTAAAATAATGTTTAAATCCTATTTTTGGAAAAGCATATCTAAGTTTATAGCATATAATATTTCTACTGACCTCCTTTCTAGTTCTCTGATAGCCATTTACCCTGTTTTTACTATAGCAAGGTTCTGTTAAAAATTGTAATATAAGGTAAAATATACTCTGAAATGAAATGAAGCCCCTCCCCCCACCTTTTTGCTTTTATTTCAGATGTGGTAGTGTTAAAGATGGCTCATTGGTGGCCTGTGCATTTTCTCCGAATGGAAATTTCTTTGTCACTGGTTCCTCGTGTGGAGATATAACAGTGTGGGATGATAAAATGAGGTGTCTACACAGTGAAAAAGCACATGATCTTGGGATTACCTGCTGTGATTTTTCTTCACAGCCAGTTTCTGGTTGGTTATTTTACTCTTTTAAGCACTAGTAGTCTCTATTTGTAATTTGTGTATGACTTTTAACTCTTTTATTCATTTTCTTCTTTAGTAAAATGAGAAGGCCTTTTAATTCATTTCTTTTAAGGAAGCATTCTTTTATCTTGATTAAAATGAAATCATGAAGAAATGTCACTAGGGAAAATCAGGCTCTTTAGTATATGCTGGGGATGACTCAGTTTTGTACAGTAGATCTGGATTCCTTGAATATGGTAATTTAGAGGACTTAACCCTGTTGAGTATGCTCTGGGTTTTAAAATACAGCATATGGCTCTCCAAAGACAAATGTGAAATTAAAAGAATTGGAAACAGAAGCTAAATTTTCAGTTTACTAATTTAATCTTCCAAAAGCTAAATTTATAAAATAAGATGTTTGACAATACAATTAGCTTTTAGAAAAAGAAATACAAACTCCTGAATATAGACAGATTCATGGTTTTAAATAGATAACAGTGAATTGGGGAGCTTTCCTCTATTTCAGGATGTTAGGATGGAAGTTGCTTTTGCTGCTTCCATTGTTGTGCCACCAGTGCTGTCCTATTAGCAATGTAATGTGAACTACATTTGTAAATTTAAGACTTTTTAGTAGTAGGTGAAATTATTTTTAATGATATAGTTTACCCAATATACATGTAAAATATTTCAATAATTGATAGTAACAAGATATTTTACCTTTTTTTTGGTACTAGGTTTTTGAAATCTGGTATGTATATTATGTCATATTTAAATTTGTTCTAGCCACATTTTAAGTGTCCAGTAGCCACGTGTGGCTAGTGCCTACCTTATTGGACAGCTCAGGTCCAGAAGGTGGGCAGAATGGTTTTGGCACTCCCCTATTTCATTCATCAGTGACTGATTAAGGTATAAAATACCAAATCCAAAACACAAAAGTTCCTAAGTACTGGACACATTCTGTGTCCCTGCCTTCTCAAAGCTCACTTGGCCTCAGACATCCTCTTGCCACTCTGGTCTCCTTTTGTTCCTTGAATGTTTCTAAGATTTTTCCAAGGGTTTTACATATGGATTCTTCACCTGGTTCACTCTTAGTTATCCTTTAGATTTCAAGTAAAAATCACTTCAGATGAGCCTCCACTGTGCTTACCCATATAATTGTATCCTGGTGCGCGTCAGTGCCAAAACTTCCTTTGAGGAAACTGCATCTGTGATGTTTAGGTGGAACTCATGTAAAATTGAGTTGATGATATCAATATTGTCATTAACCACAAATATTTAGGAACTTATCTAGTGTGTATGTAATTATACACTGAAATTATCTCAGCATTAAAAGCTAGTGGAATATTTGTGACACCAAATATCCTGATTTCCTTCCCTGATTTAATTTCTACCAAATAAAACAGATTTATGTAATTTTGGATTTATGTAATCCCAGCCTTTGCCTTGATTAAATCAATGGGGAGGGGGGAATCTCATTATTACTCCTTGTGAATTAATAGACTAAGCTTTTAAGAAGTGGGTATATCCTTTAAAAAAAAGAAAGTTAAGTTGAGAATAATTAAACATTTAATACTCATACCTTTTCTTCCTAATCTTTTACCATCAAGTGCTAGCTAGCCTCACAGACTCTAAAATTGGGTTGGAGGATGCCTTGGGCTTACTGGCTCAATATTGGCCCATGGACCCTTGATTTAGGTCCTTAGTGGAAGGTAAATGAAAAGGTATTTCGTTGTAGTAACATCAGTGGCCAGAGTTACAATCCTGTGATGTGCCTTGTTTAAAATGAATTCTTTAACCAGAATTTCATTCTGTGGTATAAGTTAATATTACTTTTGTCTTTTTTTTTTTTTAAGATTTTATTTATTTATTCATGAGAGAGAGAGAGAGATGCAGAGACACAGGCAGAGGGAGAAGCAGGCTCCATGCAGGGAGCCCGATGTGGGACTCGATCCCGGGACTCCAGGATCACACCCTGGGCTGAAGGCAGGTGCTAAACCGCTGAGCCACCCAGGGATCCCCTTAATATTACTTTTGAATATGGTTTAAATGAATAGAATTAATAGATTTCAGTATAAAAAGTTGAACATTTTTTGGTTTAGATGTTTTACCAATTCTTGTGTATTTATTTTTAACAAATTTACATTTTTAGATGGAGAGCAAGGTCTTCAGTTTTTTCGATTGGCATCATGTGGTCAGGATTGCCAGATCAAAATTTGGGTTGTTTCTTTTACCCATATCTTAGGTATGTATTCAACAGGTAGTTCTCTAAAATCATTTGTGATCCAGATAGAATTTCTGTTTTAATTAATCTTTTTACTTAAGGAACTCTGGATATCTGAAAATGATTATAGAAATCTGTATTAATAAATGTTAATCAGTAATTACATACATATACATGATTTAAAAATTGGATGCTTACCACTGATTATGACCTCAACACCATCACCACACACATTCCTGCTGACCAGAGGCAACCACTTTGCACTTCATCTGTTTGCAACTCTTGGTGGTTCTCAGTTTGCATAAATATTGTTTTACCACCATATTTTAAACTTATTCACTGCAGTGACTGTTTTTTTTTTTTTTTTTTTTTTTTTTTTTTTGACAATGCCTGGGAGCTCTTTCCTACATGTATTGCACTGTTTCTTTAGGCATCCTTCAGGCAAGAAATTTAGAGTCAGAAATAGTATTCCTTTAGGTTTATTTCTTTAATAATTTCCTCCCATGTCCTCTTTGTAATAATTTTCATGAACTGAGTGTTGGACCTCCTGATTTCTTTCCCTGTGTTGCCTCCCACCCACCTCCCACCACATTTATCTCTTTATCTTTTTTCTACTGTATGAGAACACTTCTTAACTTATCTTTTAACCTTTTGAATTTTTTATTCCATCATATTTTCAATTTCTGTAAGTTGATCTTCTCTATTTTTCTCAGTGTCCCCCTTTTATTAGATGAATGTGAAGATTGTCTCAAAACTCAGGGTATCAGAGGCTTTTTTTATTTTGTTGTTCCCTTCTGTTTCCTGATTCTCTTTGTTTGCTTTTGAGTCTTTTTTTTGTTTACTCTGATCTTTCTCTTTTATAGGGTTACCTTCTTTGTCTGGAGATCCTTGTATTCCATTTACATTTAGAATTAGGCAATAATAAGATGTTCAGAAGCTCTGTGCACGTAGTGGTTTGTTGTTGCTGACTTCCCTGTAGGAGGAGGAAGTGGCTTGTTGGCCCTTACCGAAGAGGGTTTAGGGGCTTAGGGAGCTGCATAGGCGCTGCCAAGGAACTCCCCAGAAAGCCATTAGAAATGTTCTGCTTAGAGAGAAGCATCTGACTTTTGTGAAGCATGCTATGGGTGGGATGAGGGAGGGATTGGAGGTAAACACCAAGTGTTTCATAAACAGACTTTTTTGCTAACTTCTGTATTTTCAGGTTAATATCTGTGTTCCCCAACTATTGATAGTACTAAGTCTTTTTGAGGTATTCTAGGGCAGAACAACTTTCTTCTTGGCCACAGGCCCTCCCTTTGCACTCTGGGCTGTTACTTCCCTGTAGCACCTCATCAGTTAATTTGCTTTCTGCCTTCTCAAAATTGGCTTTAGTTTCTGGATTGCTGATGCCTCTCTTTCCATTCTCTTCATTGTTGTGCTTTTATATATACATTTTTTTGCTTTTATATTTTTATTAATTCTTTCACTATCATTTTAATGGGAATTCTGAAATTATATATGGTCAGTTGGCCATCTTCAGATGCCTAAAAATATAATTTGTTACCTAATAAGCTTCAGTTAAATTACAAACCGCATTTTGTTGTTTATAATTGTTGTCAAAGATTAAACAAAGCTGGACACTAAAATGATAAGGATAGATTTTTAACCAGTAATATACTACTGCAATAGAGAGAAGAGTCCAACATGAACTGTACTCAACATCAGTTTATACAGAGGTGACTGAGCAATTTGAAGGGAGAATGAGGGAATAAGGAGGGAGGTATGTGGGACTTTGTAGAGTCAGGGAAGTGAAAACTTACAAAGAACAGAAAGGATGGGGGCCATGTGAAGCTCATCTGGGTTTGCTAACTGGCACATAGTAGGGAGATTAGGCTCCTGCCCTCCTACAGGTGGGAGACAGGGGTCCTATCTTCAGATGTTGGCTGGAATAAACAAAAGTTCTATTGGCAGCCTTGTGTTTTCCCAGGCTGGTCCTTTAAGGGGCCCAGGGTCATCCTAGGCATGCAGCCGTGGGCTGTCAGAAACTATGTTAGTGTAAGTCTTTATAGGCCCCGGTCAGGGCCTTAGTTCAGAAGAGGGCTCAGAAGAGTCTGGCTGGAGTTTGATAAAAGAGAAAATCTTTGTCATTATTACCAGTGTCTAGAGAAGGGCTCATTATCAGGAAATAAGAATTTCTTTTTGTGGAAATTCAGTTAGTTTATTGCCTACTAGGTTATATTTAGTCATTCTTTTAGTGTGTTCAGTGACATACTGGTGAGGATCAGCATTCACTGGTCTGTCCTCTCTTTTTGCTCCTGCCAAAGTAAAATTCTTGTGAGAACCCATGAATATAGTCATATATGGGATGTTCTAAATATGTCTTTAATAATTTTTCAAAAGTAAAGCGTTCCATGCATTGTCTGGAAAATGTGTTTTTATACTGACTCTTTGAAAAACGTACTTAACAGTTTATAAACATGCAGCTAAAGCCTTTTTTATAAAGTGTTTCACATCACTCTCATCTGATTATTTTAATTGCTTATTTGTTAGGGAGGAATAGACAGACTTACAGATCTTATACTTGAGAATATAACCGTGATGATATTGCAAGTTTTATTGGTTTTCATTTGATTTACGACTTAACATTTTTGCTGTTTGATTGTGCCAGTTGCTAATCTGTATATTCCGTAGTGCCTTCAGTGACCACATCTCCTCTCCCAGACAAAAAATACATGTTTTTTTTTTCTATTTGTTGAAACTTTTACCTGCTCTAATGCCCTTTTTGTTTAATTAAATGCTGTTATCTTAAGAGCCATTAACACTTCAAAAAAGTTTTTATTGGGTCTGAGAAAATGAATCCATTGTATTTATTTCCTTATCTCCTCAGATGAACTTCTTAATAGTAATTTTTATAGTAATTCTTAGTTTGTGACTAAGATACGTTGAATTCCATCAGTTTGTCTTTAAAATAGTTCTTATATTTTCAGTAATTACCAAAAGCATAAAATGGATTTCAGTGTTACCATACTTTGTAGGAGAGTATTGTAAGATATCATTGGAATTATAAGATGTATAAATTATCATTGATTATTTTTTATTTATGGAAGAAAATATTTTCTTGATAGCACATTTTAAAAATCGATCTTTGTTGAGGTATTTCGGCAATTTGATTCTTTTAAAGCATTTAGGTAATTGGTTTATGAGTGTGTATATATCTGTGTATATAAAAATATACATATATATATAAAAATAATAAAATATTTTTAAAACTTTCTTTTTAAATAGGCTCCGTGCCCATTGTGGAGCTTAAACTTATGACCCTGAGATTAGAGTCACATGCTCCACTGACTGAGCCAGTCAGGCGCCCTAAAATATATTTTATATTTTAAAAAATGAAATGCCAAGGTTGTCTTAATGGCTTAAAATTTTAGATTAGTTTAAAATTTTATATTTTTATGTATTTTATAGAGTTTAAAATTTTTTATTTTAAAAGTACTTGATCATTTTAATCCCCCATCTCTACTGAGTGCACCATTTTCTTTACCCATTACTGAATTTTTGAAACCACTTCATCACACTGCATTCCAATACCTGACTTGTGTGAAGATTTTTTTCATTTTTGTATTCTTTAGTCACTTAAAGATTATTAAAATAAATGAGTGAAATAGTTTTGACTTAAAAATAAATTCTAAGCACAGTCAGCTTGCTAATTTTTCTTGCCTTGTTATTTGCAGGTTTTGAATTAAAATATAAAAGTACACTGAGTGGGCACTGTGCTCCTGTTCTGGCTTGTGCTTTTTCTCATAATGGGCAGATGCTAGTCTCGGGGTAAGCTATTTAGTTTAATTTCCTTAAACCATTTTGATATGAAATAGAACAGATATACAGAAAAGTACATAAAACATAAGAGAATAGTTTGATAAATTGATGCAAACCTATGTAACCACTACTCAGGTCAAGAAATACAGTATCACTGGTTCTGCTCCAGAGGGCTTCACCTTCCAGATGCCTCTCTAGGGTGACAACACTTCTGGTCATATACTGTATCGCTTTTTTCTTTTTAACTGGTTTAAAACAAATCATACAATGTGTATTATTTTGTGTCTGGCTGCCCTTAGTCAACATGATGTTTGTGGCATTCATTCATATTCATGCATGTAACCGTGGCTTATTGAATAGTATTATTAATCATTTTAATGTTGATGAATATATGGATTATTTTCGGCTTATTGATTTTCATTGCTATGCAATATTCCATTGAGTGTGTACACTATTAATCATTTTAATGTTGAGGAATATATGGATTATTTTCATTTTGGGAGCATTACAATAATTTTGTAAATCCATCTATGTTTTCTAGTGTACCTGTTCATGCATCTTTGTAGGAAAAATACATAGGAATAGAATTTATGAGCCACAGAATAATTGTATTTTCAACTTTGCAAAGCAGGTAACATCAGATTGTTTTCCAAGTAGCCAAACATCCCTAGAGCTGTGTTATTTCACATCCTAGCTTATACTTGATACTGATATTTTTGGTCTTTTTAATTATAGCCTTTCTTATGGATATAAAGTGTTACCTTACTGCTTTTTAAATTTGCGTTTCCCTAAAACAATGAGATTGGAATCTTTTCAGAAGTTTTTTGGCCACAGGTATATCTCCTTTAATGAAGTACCTGTTCATGTCTCTTGCTCATTTTCCTTCTGGATTATCCTTTTCTTATTGATCTGTTGTTGAGATTATATATATTGTGTCTATATTTCAATATATGAGCCACTTATTGGTTATATGTGTTGTAAATATCTTTTCCCTTCTGTGGATTTGTCTTTTCACAGCTTAATTTTAATATGGTCTTTTTTTTTTTAATTCTGTTTATTCATTCATGAGAGACATGGAGAGAGAAAGAAGCAGAGACACACAGGCAGAGTGAAAAGCAGGCAGAGAGAGAAGCAGGCTCCATGCAGGGAACCCATTGCTTCCAGGTCTCCAGGATCACACTCTGGGCTGAAGGCGGCGCTAAACCACTGAGCCATCTATGCTGCCCTTCACAGCTTAATTTTAGTGTAATCAGTTTCTTTATGTTCTGAGTCATGAGAATATTTTCCCATATTATCTTCTAAAACCTTCATTGTATTTTCTTTCTCAAATTTGATTTGTGTGTGTCATGTACAGGAGTCCAATTTTATTTCTTTCCATGTGGATATCCAGTTGTCCCAGTAATATACATGAAAAGATCATTTTTTTCTCCATGTTCTATCTTATCAGAAATCACTGACCATATATGTGTGGATCTGTTTCTCAGCCTATTTCATTCTATTTTTCTCTTTATCCTTGCTCTAAAACCATTCTCCTTCTAAGCTATTCCTGGATAGCTTAGATACTTCCATATAAATTTTAGAGTTAGCTTGTCAGATTGCTTCCAGCTATCCCCTGTACATACATAGACCCATTGGATTTTGATTGGGGTTGTATGGAGTCTGATAATTTGGGGGCTAATTGGCATCTTTATGATGTTGAGTCTTTTAATCCAGGAATATGGCATATTTCTCCGTTTATTTTTGTTTTGATTTCTCTCAATAATTGTCTTCTCTGTAGAAGTCCTCCTCCTCTTTTATTAATTTCTAGGCACTTAATTTTTTTGTTGCTATTATAAAAGTCATGGGTAACATAGAGAAGTATATACAGAAAGACAAAATTAAGATCTGTAAGAATTTATGCGTTTTTATGTACGAAATCATATCACATGATAATCATTTTTGTTTCTTCCTTTCTAATCATTGTACCTTTAACATCATCCTATGCCTTATTCAACTAGCTGTCAGTACAAAGGTAATGGAATTAGTGATCACAGCCAACCTCTGATTCCTTTTTGCAAAGGAAAGCTTTCATTATTAAGTGTGATCACTGTAGGTTTGGAGAGATAAACTTTTTTAGCTCTTCTGTTCCTTCTAGTTTGTAAGAGGTTTTGTTTTGTTTTTATCACGAAGAAGTGCTATGATTTTACGTGATTCTTTTGAAATAATCATAGGATTTTTCTCTTTTATTCTATTAGGGTGATAAATTATATTGATTTCTCAAATGTTAAACCAACCTTGCTTTGTTGGAATAAACATAATTTGGTCAAGACTTAACTATTTTTGTATATATATCACTATAGAGAAGCCTGATTCTAACTAACTTATATTTTTTTCACTGGCTGCTTACAGAACTTTGTCTTTGTGATTTTTTTATACTTACTTTGTATTGAGATTTGGATTTCTTTTTATTTAGTTTGCTTTGGGATCCACTGAGCTTGTTAAATATGTGGAATGGTAATTCACCAGTTAAGGGGAAATTCTTATTCATTATCTCTTCAAATATTGCCTCTGTCCTTTCTCTGGTCTAAATCTGGAACTCCAATTAGATGCAAAATATACCTTCATATTATAAACTTTATATATCTTATTTTCTCTTCTGTATTTTTAATTGTCCTGTTCTTGTGCTTTATTCCAAATGGTTTTCCTTTTGCTGATGCTCTTCTTAGCTTTATCAGATATATTAAACTGGTCCATTGATGAATCCTTAATTTGGATTATTTTGTTTTTTTGGTTCTGGAATTTGTATTTGGCTGTTTTTTCAGGTCCACTATATCACTTTTTATGATTTCTAGTTCTCTGTTAAAATTTTTAATCTTGGCTTTTGTTTTTCAAAACTTTGTTCTATAAATCAGTTAGTTTGGTACACAGTAGCATGAGTCAGTTACTTTATATTCTATTTATATACTTTGGTATATTTTCTCCTTGCTGCTCTTGGATTTTCTCACTCTTGCCTCTCTGGCATCAGACACTGAAATCCACATTCATGGCTCTTCATGGCAGCTTTCGCTCCATCCAAGATATTTGGGCTGTTGACATTTACTTAAAATACTTTGGACTTAAGCCTGATAGTTCTTTTCCCATATGTTCTAATCCTTGACAAATAAATAAACCAAAAAATTAGATATGTTGCCTTTATTTTAGATGTGACCCTTCTATCCCAAAAGAAAATAGTGCATCATCAAAAAGCATGTATAGTAATTCTCTTTTCACCTAGAATTGAAGTCAGTGATAGTTTAAACAAATTTGAATTATCTTCTTTTGTTTTGGGGGATGTATTGTGCATTTCACTCTTGAGAGGTTGACAAAATGATGAAATGAAATTCAGCAAGTATTTATGACTATCTCATGTGCGCAGGTCTCTGCCAGTTGCGATACGGCATATAAAAGGAAGTATAAGACAGTGTGCCCTTCAAGATATTTTAATTCTCTATCCTGATGGTCATGTTGATAACTTAATAACATTGTATGATCTGATACGCCTTTGCCTTCTGAATCATAAAAGAAGTATTAAATGATACTCAGTATAACTTGTGTGTTTAAAAGCTATTTGTTATAAAAATGCTATTTTATAGCATTATAATTCCTCATTAGCTTGTATATATGTCAATCTTAATTAATATTTTATGTTAACTAAGATGTACCCTTTCTAGTCATTGTGGATAAATGTATTTTACATTATTAAATATTTTTTGGGATTTGGTATCACTCTAGGTCACATTCAGATATTTTTTCTGAATATTCTTAATTCATTTGGATAAATATATGGGCAAGTTAGTGAGTTGGAAATGTAAGATGGTGAAATATAAACGTTTAGTTTTTTAGGGAAATTGGGATATATGTTTCAACCATACTTCATGAGTAGATAAAGAACTAGTTCATTGGTCAGTGATATATTCCCTTTGTGAATAAAAGTTATTGGTTAGATGAAACAGATACATATTTTAAAGAGACAGTGGGGTAAAATGAGTAAGATATCTGAATACAGGTGGCTACACAGAAAAAATGAATTGAGGAGAGAATGGGATTATAGGTCAAGTATGCTAATGAGGTTGTATAGGGCATAGATATAGGGTGACCATGTCAAAGGCATCATGGAATTTATGCAGATATGGGAGGATTGGGAAACAGGGAATTCCAAAAGGCAGGAAATTCTTGAGTGGATTAAATGTATGGTGCATATAAAAAGCAGTAAGAGGAATTGAGGCTGGAAAAATAGATTGAGAGATACTAGGATGTTGTTACGACTTTGTATAGATTTAGGAAAATGATTGAAACTTTTAAGGCAATTCTAATATCCATTGCCTAGCTATAGGAGATGAGTACTAAAGGTGAAGTAAAGAAATTGAACCATGATTTAGGTCAATAGTTCTCATATGTTTTGGCCTTAGCATTCTCTGACGTTCTTACAAATTATTGAGGTGGAGCTTAAGGAGCTTTTGCTTGTATGGGTTACATATATCGCTGTTTACTGAAAATAAAACAAAATTCTAAAATATTTTTAGTTCATTAAAAAAACTCATTGTATATTAACATAACATTTTTGGTTAAGAAAAGTAAAATAGAAGAATGAATTGTTTTCTTTTTAAAAATCGCTTCAGTATCTGGACTAGCAAAAGATACACGGGTTCTCCTATCTGCTCCACACGTTCCATTAGCTCTCAGAGCTGTGATGGCATCACACATGATGGAGCAAAATATGTAGGAACTTCTTCACTCATCTTTCTCTACACCTCCCCTCTAATAATTTTCCTCTAGCCCCTTGGCAGAATTTGTCTTTTGTTCCACCCTACTTCACTTGATCAACCAGATAAAACGAACATTATATATTTTAGCTTCTATTCAGGCAGGAAAGATCAGTCTTCAAAATTCAAATAGGCCTGCCTCTTTCCATAAATTCTCAGTTCTAGTTGTTAGGATTCTTTGAAAACTAGTTTTTAAATGCTGATCATTGTTAGAGTTTTAGGAGTTCA